AATTGGGATTAATTTCGGTTGCTATGGGAATCTCGTGTGGCCTGAGTATTTACTCGCTAGATGCAGACATCCACTTGCTTTGCTTTGAACCGAGTCATCAAAAAAACACATGTCAAGTGTTTCTTAAAAATAACACATTTCCAGTGCATTTTTCGACCGAACTTCGGTTTATTTCCATACCGAACCGTGTAAATTCGATATATTCGTGCAGAAAACTTCGTTTCTCTAGATAAATAGATAAATCACTCAAATACAATTTTAATAATTATTTTTGTATCTTAAATTTGTAATCCAAATTTGAAAAAAAAAACAAAATAATTTATTGTTACGTAAATATTTTCAATAATATTTTATTTAAATTCATAAATTATCAACGTATTGGTTATTTTTTTCATTTATGTAAATATACAGTTAACATAATATAGAAATATTTTTTTGTTTCTTTGTGGCATATTTATTGTTATTTACACAAAATTGACATTTTGACATATGTCAAAATAAATAACTTAGAAAAAATTAAAAATTATCAACGTCAAATGTAAACGAAATTATATTGAGATTAACATTCAATAAAATGAAGTGTATTGAATTAGATGACGTCGAAAGATAAATGTTTGCCTATTAAACACTGTGACGTTAGGCATTTGACGTATTATGTAATCATCAACAGCAACAATAAAAAAAAAACAAAACAACAGAAATGTCAAGGACTGTGTGACAACTTTAAACATCGACGTTTTATTGCCAACATTCAACAACATTCACACGAAACAATTGGTTATCGTCGAAGCGTGTCTATGAAAAAAGGAAAAAGTTTTATTCAACAAATTATTTTATCTGAGCAATAAAAAAAAATCTGTTATTGTGAGGTGTGTCATTAAAATAACATTTTCAAATGAAATTTCAATTGAATGACGAATGAATTGTTATTGTGAAATGATAAAATTGAGATGATATAATTCATATTATTTTGTAATATAAACCAGTTTTTTGCCTAACAATAAACTTTTGACAGCTTAACGTCAGTGTTTATTATGAGAAAAAGTTATTTATTAATAAGTGTGTTGGAATTAAACATGTTTTAATGGAAAATATTGATGAATCATGCATGAAACGTTGATTCATCTTGGGTTTTTGAGGAATTACAGGAAGATCTGAAAAATACTTTGTAATACAATAATGTTTATTGATGAATATGCAAGAGATTGAAATAAATTTGTTTAATTTTAAAGTGGATTTTGGGGAAATGCACGAACTGAAAAATAATTGTAATACAATTATCCTTCCGTCCATGCTGAAGATGTCTTTTTGTTTGTAAAAAACCAGTTTGGCATTCGCAATCCGTGAGCAACTTTTGGTTGCACGCCGAAAACAATCGATACAAGAAGTTACTGTCAGTCAATCGTTTCTCGAGAGAGAGAGAGAGGAATGAAGGAAAAAAAATGTGAACGGCCGCCATCTTATGCACAGGATGCAGCAAACGTACAAACGAATATGGCGACGAAGAAGAAATATAAAAAAAAAGAAACGTGAAAATATATGATGGGGGGAAATTCGAAATTTGAACCGCACGGAATACCAATATAAAATTTCAAAAAAAATTATTATAGCTTATAATGGCGATACGTCTCGTCCAATCAGATAGTGGAAATATTATACGAAACAAATGATTTCGCGTTTTGTTTGCTAGATTTCTCGATATATATGCACGGACGTAATGGTGGGGTTGGGTCGTCGGGATCGGAGTGTATCGTATCGCGTAACTAAGCTCACTCTATTCATTCGGTTGAAACCAGTGGTAGGAAGAACACCTTTTTAGTTTCTGTGACTGCTCGTTCGGCTCTTTGGGTAAAGATGTCTCTAAAAAATGTGGAGTTGGCGGCACCCCTCCATGGGCATGGGGGAAAGGTAAACTAATTTGAATTTTTAAAAAGAATTATCATTCATTACTGTTCGATTGTGAATGGGACACGTTCGCAGGATGATTTTCATAAATTTTTGCAACAACAAAAAAAATAAATAAATAGGAAATTTCGAATTTTGCCGCGATGGAAAAACACCGCGATCTCGTGCATCGCTTTCTAATGCGAATTCGATTTAAATGCAAAAGTGATTTGAATGCAAGATCACTGCACAAACCCGAACGAAATTTAATTAATAATATTATTGATTTTTTTTTTGTTGTTGTAAATTTTTAATTTCGGGAAGCGACGGGTTGCGACTTCGGATGTTTACGTAACGCGTGCGTAAACAAGAATATGCAATTAATGATAATACGATTTGTTATATTTATTTTTTTTGTTGTTGCAATTTTTTTTCGCAACGATCTTTTTTGCAAAAGACTTTACTTCTTCTTCGTGCGTTCGCTCGCGTACTGCGCTGCTGCGTCTGTTATCCAGGAATAGTCTTATCCAGAAATACACGTTCGGGAATTCGGGACGGCTCCTGCGGGATTCGATGGACGCGGCTTTTCGCGATAACTCTTCTTTCGTAAACCTGTTCCGCGGCTTTCCTTCTTCAATGGTCCCCGTTAGCTCAATGCAGAAATGGGCTTGCCCATCGCTTCTGCACGCGACGCCGACAACAATGATTTTCTCCCTTTCTTTCTTTCATCACTCATTCATGGGACGAAGACGTCGGTTTCGACTATGATATTGATGATACGAGCGACGAAGGTCACTACCATGGCCAAATTGCATGCATTTAGGGCAAGGCTTCCTCAAGGTTGATCCAAAAAAAATAAATTATAAGACCCTAAAACTGCAATTCTTTGCGGCGACGCGAATGCAAATTGGGTCTCGAAAGCGCTCCGATTAAAATAAATCAAAATTGCTCGAGCTAAGAAGGAAGTGGCAAATTTTTGATCTCCGCTCCAGATCTGCTCGAGAATGTATGAGCCAGAGAGAGAGAGAGAAAGAAACATTTATCCATTATCTCGCAACATAAATATTTATGCGTTCTATCTGCACCGGCAAATGTTTAAATATTACAATAACAATTCGAGCAAGGAACGTAAATATTTTAAGTAGACCGCTACTGCGACGTACATTTTCATAACCGACATTCGTTGCTATCGTTTTTTTATTTTATTTAGTGTTTCTTTTTATTTATATTTATATATCCGCTTTTTTTTTATTTTCCTGATTCGACGCAATCACTGAAAAGCGACACGACATTTTCGCAAACCAAACACCGCTTATCGCCGCAAAAATGTTTAGGTGTGCTCTGTGCGATAACGTTTCTGCGCTGATACTTTCACATTCGCAAATTCGCAGGAAAATTACCCATAACTCACCCAAACCATTGTTCAACATTTAACAATAGCGACAAACACACTCATGCGTTCGTGTGNNNNTTCAAATAGAAAACCTTCTGTGAAATGGCAATCGCGGAGAAATTTCTTCGCTCGCAGCGCAGTTTTATTTCACCTTATTTCCAATGTCTTCCAGCAAACGCAAAAATAAACATCTAATTACAACTTCGATCCGATTCCAACAAACATATCGCTTAACTAGTTGTTTCATGGAATATCTAGTACAAATAGTTAAAGTTTCAAATAGTATACTTTATCTTGTAATTCCATATAATCAATTTTTGCATTGATTTTTATTAAAAGTTAAATATTTCTGTTAAATAATTGAATATTGTCCAAAGATTTTGATGTAAAAATTTTGAGGTTACATTAAATTAGGTTAGGTTACGATTTCAATAAACATCGGTTAACTAGTTATTTCGTGAAATTTCTAGTACGAATAGTTACAGTATGAAGTAGTATACTTCAGTTATTGCATACAATTTTTATTGAAAGTTAAATATTTTCGTTAAATAATTAAATATTGTCTAAAGATTTTGATATAAACAATGTGAGTTTGGATTAAATTAGGTTAGGTTACGATTCTAACAGTTAACTAGTTGTACCATAAAATATCTAGTACAAATAGTTAAAGTTTGAAATAGTATACTTTATCTTGTAATTCCATGTAATCAATTTTTGCATTGATTTTTTTATTAAAAGTTAAATATTTCTGTTAAATAATTGAATATTGTCCAAAGATTTTGATGTAAAAATTTTGAGGTTACATTAAATTAGGTTAGGTTACGATTTCAATAAACATCGGTTAACTAGTTATTTCATGGAATATCTAGTACGAATAGTTACAGTATGAAATAGTATACTTCAGTTAGTGCATCCAATTTTTATTAAAAGTTAAATATTTTCGTTAAATAATTAAATATTGTCTAAAGATTTAGATATAAACAATGTGAGTTTGGATTAAATTAGGTTAGGTTACGATTCTAACAGTTAACTAGTTATTCCATGAAATATCTAGTACAAATAGTTAAAGTTTGAAATAGTATACTTTATCTTGTAATTATATATAATTAATTTTTGCATTGATTTTTTATTAAAAGTTAAATATTTCTGTTAAATAATTGAATATTGTCCAAAGATTTATATATAAAAAAAATTGAGGTTACATTAAATTAGGTTAGGTTACGATTTCAATAAACATCGGTTAACTAGTTATTTCATGGAATATCTAGTACAAATAGTTAAAGTTTGAAATAGTATACTTTATCTTGTAATTCCATATAATCAATTTTTGCATTTTTATTAAAAGTTAAATATTTCTGTTAAATAATTGAATATTGTCCAAAGATTTTGATGTAAAAATTTTGAGGTTACATTAAATTAGGTTAGGTTTATTGAAATCGTAATAAACATTGATTAACCAGTTATTGTATGGAATATCTAGTATAAATAGTTAAAGTATGCTTTAGTTATTGCGTCTAATATTTGTTAAAAGTTAAATGTTTCCGTTAAATAATTGAATATTTGTCAAAATATATAAATGTAAACAATTAGAGGTTAGATTAAATTAGGTTATATGTTAAAATTATTTTATTTTATGTAATTATTAAGTAATTTATAGAACAAAATACTTATGAAACTGAATGTTAACATCAATTTAATTTTTCTCTTCTTTTTGTTGTTGCAGAGACCCCAACTCATATCTCAATTTGACCAGAAAAAGGGTGGTGTAAAGACAGATGTAATTATGACTAAGTAAGTACTATAACTCCGATCTGGATGCTAATTCACCATTCGCATTCGACAAAAAGAAACGAAACAAAAAAAAATCGAATAGCGAAGCGCAGAAAATCAGAGCGCGCAACCCTCAGAAACACAGTAGAAAAGAAAGAAAAAAATGTAAAAGAAAGAAACGAAAACACAAAATCATTCATCGACGCACTATTCTTCATCTTATTACCCAGCGAAGGTATAGAAAATTTGAAATTATTATTTAATGGAAGGAACACACATATCTTTTTTTAGTACTGGTGATTGGACTTTTCCTATTATTTGTTTTTTTTTTTATATATTCTATTAGTAAAGAAAACCATGTATAATGCTGATATAACGCACATACAAACGCACTTGTAATTAGATACTCGACACTTTAATTGTTATTATCATTTATTTTGTTTTGCATTTCAATTGTTTCATCGATATAGAGCTTTGTTTTTTATTTTCTCTCTTTCTCTTTTGGTGCACATATCATATTCACATTTCAATGACGATTGTTGTCTGCGATTCGTTTAGGTCTCTGCACTTATGCATGGTTTCAAATAAAAGTGTTGTTGTGATTATATTTTTTGAAGTATTTCATAAGAATATTGGCAATAACCGGAGCTGCCTCAAGTGCTGTTGCCGCAACGTGTTGCGCTGCTAGTGCTGAAGAGCTGCGGATGATATAAGAGGACGATCAACGGTACAGAATTTTTATTACGATTCTTTTTATTTAATATTTTTTATTTTGTTTAATAGTTTATTTAATTACTTCACTCTACCGAAGTTGTACATTTATATAGTCATTACTTTTTTTTAAAAAATCAATTATTATTCATTTTTTTTTGTATATTTTAAAATTAGTTTTGGAAATTTTAGTTCATTTTTTGCATTAGTTCAAGAGATTATTTTATTTCAAGTTAGGGATGTTAATTATATATTTGTTTATTTTTTTTTATTACAATCACTTCGCGAATTTATCCACTTGCGCGTTTTATAATTACGAAATGCTGTGGTGGGTAAATTCGTCGATTTATCTCCCTCCCAAATCTAACCGAAAAACCATACCATTAACCCATGACAACCAATTGCGAGGATGAGACTAATTCTGTTCGTGTTGCAGCTATAAAAGCGAAAAGAATGATGTGCCTGTTACGCTGGCCAATGGATCGACGGTCCCGCTCGTGGAGTTTCGGCCGAAGGATGAGGAATCGGGTGACTACGATCCCTTCGCCCATCGCAAATTGGACCATCCCACTTCGTAAGCACTAGATTCCGCCCATTCAAAACAAAACACGACTAATGTTGTTTATGCAACTCTATTTACAGAGACATGGATACGCTCATCCATCTGCTGAAGGGCAGTCTCGGCAGCGGAATTCTGGCCATGCCGTTGGCATTCGCCAATGCCGGTCTGGGTTTTGGACTATTCTGCACGTTCATGATCGGCTTGATATGCACGTACTGCGTGCACATTCTTGTGAAGAGCGCTCACGCCCTTTGCAAGAAGACGAGAGTTCCATCGCTGGGCTTCGCCGAGGTGGCGGAAGCGGCCTTCCTGTCCGGTCCGACGTTCCTGCATAAATGGTCTCGATTCGCTAAGGCTATGATCAATTTGTTCCTGGTCATCGATCTGCTGGGATGCTGCTGCGTCTACATAGTGTTCGTTTCGAAGAACACTAAGCAAGTCGTCGATTATTACACGGAATCCGATTTGGATTTAAGATATTACATGGCAGCGCTGTTGCCTCTGCTGATTCTCATGAATTTGATCAGAAACTTGAAGTATCTGGCGCCGTTCTCGATGATGGCCAACGTTCTGATTGGAACAGGAATGGGCATCACCTTCTACTACATCTTCTCCGATCTGCCGGAAGTAACGACTAGACCGAACTTCGTCGACGTTCACAAACTACCAATGTTCTTCGGTACCGCCATCTTCGCTCTCGAAGGTATCGGCGTAGTCATGCCTTTGGAAAACAGCATGAAGACCCCGACCCATTTCATCGGTTGCCCCGGAGTCCTGAACATCGGCATGACCTTCGTCATCCTCCTGTACGCCAGCGTCGGCTTCTTCGGTTTCTGGAAATACGGTGACGACACCGAAGGCAGCATCACCCTTAACTTGCCCAAGGAAGAAATGTAAGACCTACAAAATTAAATTTGAATCGCAGTTACTAAACTGATTGTCATTCCAGATTGGCCCAATTGGTTAAGCTCATGATAGCCGTCGCCATCCTCCTAACGTACAGCCTGCAATTCTACGTTCCCATGGAGATCATCTGGAAGAATCTGAAGCAGCATTTCGGTGCTCGCAAGTTGGTCGTCGAGTACTCCATCCGCGTCTTCCTCGTCTCCGCAACGGTTGCAATCGCCATCTTGATCCCAAATCTGGGCGGTTTCATCTCTTTGGTCGGCGCCGTCTGCCTTTCTACGCTCGGTCTCATCTTCCCAGCCCTCATCGATCTGATCACCTTCTACGAGGAACCGGGTCTAGGCCGCTTCAACTGGAGACTGTGGAAGAACATCTTCCTTATCTGCTTCGGCTTGGTGGGCTTCGTAACCGGCAGTTACGTCAGCATTTGCGAAATCTTGGAATCATGAATGCTCACATGGTCACGAAACCAGGTTGCATTCAAGTATTAGATTGGTTAGTATTACGCCTGTTTAGAGATTTGAACAACTAAAAAAAAAAACAACAACAACAACAAAAAAACAACACCATCAGCAGCAGCAGACCACGCAAAACGCGAACACCTTACCTATTTTGTTAAATCTACAAATCATTTAACTTGTGCTTGCCTATTTTAGTTTCTTGTAGAGCATATTTAAACAACATTATTAAGAAAATCGCATAAGCAAGAAGGTGGATCAAGGTTTAGTGGGAACAAAGCAAAATCCTATTTTTTTTTTGGAAGGCACGACGGAAACCCGAAATAATTAAAGTTCCGATGAAATAGAGAGACAGAGAGAGCTGTGAAGAATCGTAGTAGTTGAGTAGAAGTAGCTTAGTGCTTTAGATCAATCGAAATATTGAGACATTGAAAATCAGATGATAATGTGATAGAGACTAAGCAAACAAAGAAATACTCGAATTTATTTGTAGCAATTTTATTTAATTTTTCATTTAGCTTAAAATTCAATTTTCATTTCTTATTCTACGTACAAATAACATTTCGATTTGTACTTCTTTGTTTGCGATTTAAGATTTAACAGCTAAATATTTTTATTATATTATTGTTAACGTAATAAAGATGATTTAAAGAAACGGACAGGGTAAGCCGTCGCTATCTTATTGTAGCGGCGACTGTTTCAAGTTCCTTAAGGTGCAGACAAAATTTGTAATACTATCTAAAAGCAAAAACGAGAATATATGTATTTGGTGATCAATTAACAAACAAATATAAAACTTCATTTTTTTTTTGTTATCAACAACGACTAAAACATCAATATTATACATTTGTTGTAAATGTACACGCCAACGTATATATATTTATCATATCGCTGTATAATGACGAGTAATGCAATTTGTTTAATTTTAAACAGATTTTTTTCGAGTATGTGATGATATTTTTTCTACTTGAATTGTTATTTAAGATATTGTTATTATTTCTAACTATTGAATAAAACTGAAATCGTTTTATAAACAATTATTTTTATTTTACATTTTAACCAATTACCTCCCCACAACACAATAACTTTCGAATATCCAAATACACCTTGACTAAGAAAAAAAAAACTTGTTAAACAATAGGCTGGAATCATTTAGTTTTTTTTAACAAACTTGGTCATATCATTTCTTAAATTAAACTGCAATTTTTCAGAACGAGGTATTTTTTTTAATTTAAATTGGATTTTATTGAACCACAAGCAAACAATGTTGGAAAACAATTAAATTTTTTGAATTCAATTCAAATTTTCGATATGACCGCCTTGAACGCAAAGGTATAGCTCAGAGTTGGTCGACAAGCGAGTCGCACGCTACACGAATGTGAACCTGTGGAATCTTCCTCCATTCACGAAGAAGGACTTTATTGAACACATTAACACTTTGGTATTTTTTATTACTGATATTGGTCTGATGTATGACCCATGAGCGGATTTGCATCTGGTCACCGTGGAGACAACTCTGCTGTCGAAATTAAGTGTGAAACGTTGTCTCTCAGCAATTGTTAGTTTTCGTATGCTTTGTGTAATGGTGCAGAATCTTCTTGAAACGTCGACTCTTTCTGACTGAAATGTTTGGTTGACTACGGCTTCAGAACACCTTCCAAAAATTTTTCGTAGCAGACATTCGCATTAATCTTAACGCCATGGTCCAAAAAGTAACAAAGAAAAGCGACTATCCACCGGCACAGCCTCCCAAACTACCACAAACGGTGGTACTTGACTTTCTGTGACCAATCGAATGTCTAAATTTTCATTTGACCTCTCTAATTAAATTCGATCATTTTGTTTGTTTACGAATTTCTCAATTGAGAAATTTTTCTCATCAAACAAGACAATATTTGGCAATTGGCTGCGTTCGTGCAAGCGCAAGAGCTCCTTCGCTCTATCGAGCCTAGTTTTTTTATGAACATCTTATGAGATCTTATCCTTTTTGGACATTGTAAGGCTTCACTTTGAGTTCGATTTTGAATATTTGTTGCATGGTTATTTTCGATGTGGTCAGCTGAGTAGCGATTTGCCTTCCTTAATTCTGCCACAGATCTAGTTTTATAGCATTTTGCAAGACTATTAGCTTCGTTATAACGTGTTATGGTTCGAGACAAAAAATATTTACTTTAGGTTTTCCGCTTAAATATTGGACTATTACACCATTACGTTTCAATTCCATCGCTGATAACTTTTCAAAAAACTGAGATGCAAATGCTTCCGCAGGCTTCTAAACAATAAAATCGGCTATCATTAGATGTAATATGGACACAACATTGCCAACGGTTCAAAAGTTATAGCAGTTTTAAGTTAGTTGCAGTTTAATTAGTCCACCCTGTATATATTATCAAACAGACTTTAAAGATAATCGTAGTTGACTATCTTATCTTAGATAGGAAATTGCATGTTACCAAATGTGCATTAAAACAAACAAATGTAGATGCAATTAATGAATTGAAATAATATTTGATAAATTTTATGTGAAAAATAATATGCGAAAAAGCGCCAATTTCGTAAAAGGTTATTTTTCAAATTCTTAAAGATTTCTTATTAGAATAAGGTAACTAAGTAATTCATGAAAGAATGAAACAAGTAAGATAGCATAGTATTACAACAGCGTTTCTGAACCTTCTTCTTTACACCTAAATTTAATAACTTCAAAATTGGATTATGTTAAATATTTATTTAAAAATATATAAATACAGTTTTTTTTTTATTATAATTTTGTTTTCTCAAACAACACTGATTTTTGTTTATTAATTCTTCAAAAAATAAAGACATTCAGATTAAAAGACATTAGTGTGTCTTTGTTTTGTTTTTTTTTTATACAAGTCTTGCAACTAACTGCAAAATGATCACTCATTATATACACAGTGTATCAATGAAAAAAAAATGTTTAGAAACAATTGCAGAGGAATCATTTCGTTGGAACTATTTGATGAGATGTTTTATTATTTACTATGATGATTAATAATAATTTAATATCAGGAAATAACTCATCTGCCCGTCCTCCAGAAATAAATGTAAAATGATCCAGAAATGAGCAACATAATAGCGGCGAGTCCGACGAGAACCCACTTGATGATGTCAGCCACCTTCATCACATACAAAGCCACGTCCAGAAGATCGTAGTAATAGTTGTTCAATTCGATGCCCTGAGAATAATGCATTTGTTTTAGGTGAAATTGAATACGAGACAAAATTTAAATTCAAATATGTACCTCATCGAACCACATCAATGGTAAAAGGGAGCGCGAAACTTTTGCAGTTTCTTCGATCATTTCACCGCCGTACAACATTGGTCGCACCACCATATTCATCTGGATCCTCCTGTTACCAACCACCGGAAATCCTAATAGCTTAAATGCAAAGAAAAATTAACAATTAATTAACATTGCAACAATAAAACATTTATATTAGCTAACCGGTTGCAATCGCATCACCAAATTGTGTTTCTCTATGTCAGGCTTCAAATTTTCGACCGCATCCAAATATTTCTTGTCGGCGTACAGGAAATGCGGCAGAGACAATAACGCTGGCATTCCTAAATACAAACAAAATAATTTATAAAGATTGTGTGCAATTTAATTAATAAAGAATATAATTATACCGAAACAAGTTTGAACGTCCAAAGCTCCATCCAGAAAACAGGATTCTTCACCATCCATGCCTCTAGTCTTTTTGGCACAATAACAAGAGTCCTCAGCTTTCTCACCATCTTCTGGATAAAACAATCTCTTGTTTACAACGTAATCGTAAGTGTCCAAATCTTTGTACGTCCCCTCTCCGTCGAATATAATTTCAGCGGTCCTGAAAAAGAAATTCGAATATTAGATGGAGCCCGACATCTGTGAATGGAAGGATCAACTGAAATCTCTTCAGCAAGTGTATGGTATATTGCTGAAGCGGGAAAAGGATCTGGTTTAGGTTATTGTATTTGTAAACAATAGCTCCGCATATTTGCAGGATGGCTCAAGCAGTTGCAGACGAATCTTGGAAAACTGCCGAATCCATTTACGAGTTCACCGTGAATAACATCAAAGGTGAACCGGTGTCTCTTGAGGAATACAAGGGACACGTCTGTATCATCGTTAACGTTGCGTCCAGATGCGGACACACCAAGTCCAACTATGAGCAACTGGTGCAGCTCCATGAAGATTATGGGGAGAGCAAGGGTTTGAAGGTGCTGGCATTTCCTTGCAACCAGTTTGGTGCACAAGAGCCAGGCGATGCTGAGAAGATATGCTCCTTCATTGAGAATTACAATGTACAGTTTGACATGTTCGAAAAGATCAATGTGAATGGACCCAAAGCAGTACCACTCTATCATTATTTGAAGCACACCCTGCCCGATCCCAAAGCCAAGGGCAAAGGCAATGCTATTAAGTGGAACTTCACCAAGTTCGTCATCGATCAATATGGAAAGCCTGTCAAGAGGTTTGCCTCCAGCACCAAACCTCTAAACATGCTCAAGACATTAGAAGAAATTTGGTAAATCTATAAGCAGTCTTTTAACTTGTATTAACTGAATTATTTTTTTAAATATATTTTGTTTATTTATTTATTAATTGCTAGTTTTATTCAATTTAGTTTGAATATCAAAATAGCATTTTGCAGAAAATGTGCCCTAACATGATCATCTATAAAAAAAAACGCTTTTATCATGTCTAAAATAATAGATTTTCACTTTGCCCTTACAGATTTTATAAAATTGTTACATATTCGAGTTATACAACCGCTCTGACGTGTATGCATAGATTGTCCTCTATGGCTATACTTCTAAATGATTGCTGCGTAACGTGTATGAGTTGCATTAATGATTAACTGATGATTGTATAACCTTTTAGGCAGCTATATATACGAGGTACAGTAACTGATATAACGCGATAATTCAATATAAAATCATTATTATCTTTGTAGCCGAGACATCTTTGGATTAAAGCGAGAATTTCACGTGGCAACTTGCCAAATATATATTTTCATCGACTGAGCGTCGTCGTGAGAGTGACAGAGTAAGTTAAAAATTAAGTAACATTTAATAATTTACATTTAGTAATAGTTTGATTGTTCGTTTCCGGACTTGCACGCTGCAGCAGTTCGTTTGGTATAATGTATGCTATTTATATGATGATTATGAATTATCGCTAATTATCAGTGGTTGGTACTGGCATATGATGTAGAGTAGTACGTGGTGTACTGGATGATCTAGCCGCACTTATCGTTATACTATAATACTCGTCGGTTGTTGTACTACCTACTACGCACGGCATTTGTGGTGACTTGCGTTCTGTTGTAAATCAAAGTAGTGAAGGTAACGCCTATTACATACAATGCTGCTGCGTCGTTTACGGGGGCTGCAGTTGCTCAACATTGCGGCATTCGCTTTGCCAGTGTTCCTAACTCCGGCAGTTCTTGCGACAACTTGTAAAGTCACGGCCTCTTGTTCAACAGATACTTGTTCCGCAGATAAGATCATGGAGGGTACATTAGTGAACCCCGAGAGTCCGAAGGAGGCGAGCTCCATTTACGACTTCCAAGCTAGAGACATCAACGGCGAAATCGTCTCTCTAGAGAAGTACAAGGGTCACGTCTGCATCATCGTCAATGTCGCATCGCAGTGCGGTCTGACGAAGAACAACTATGCTGAACTGGTGGAACTCGACGAGCAGTACGGAGAATCAAAAGGATTGAAGATCCTGGGCTTCCCTTGCAACCAGTTCGGTGGTCAAGAGCCGGGCAGCAGCTCTGATATCTGCAGCTTCGTCGCGAAGAAGAACGTCAAGTTCGATATGTTCGAGAAGATCGACGTTAACGGCGACAACGTGCATCCGCTGTACGTGTACTTGAAGCACAAGCAGGGCGGCGTCCTTGGCGACTTCATCAAGTGGAACTTCACCAAGTTCATCATCGACAAGAACGGACAACCGGTGGAGAGGCACGGCCCCACGACCAGCCCCAAGGATCTGGTCAAATCGTTGGAGAAGTACTTCTGAGTCTTCTCCTTTCTCTGCACATATTCGCTTTGCTAGGTCTATCAACGTGTTGTATAGCTAAATTGTTAATTACACTAATCCCTTGTTACAATTTAAAACATATATAGTGAGACAGAAATGAGCATTTATTCTTGTAATTATCATTTTATATATTGAATTTTTCAGAATAAATATATCAATTTAAACGTTCAAAAGCTTCTTTATATCTCCCTTTCCCACCCATACATTCCAATTAACCTTTGACACTTTCAATTTAATACAAAATACCGATTAAATGTTGTACGCATAAAATGTAAATTCTTCAACAACATCAACATTTGAATAATGTTTCTATTTTTAATAACTCATTCTATTTAAAAAATTGAACCATGAACTCATGCATATAATTAATGTTGCAATATAAACGTAATCAATATAACTAAAAATATCTATTTAATTTTTAATTGTAATTATCAAAATTTGCGTAATATTCCATTGTTACTATCTCATATTGTCATTCCAATGTTTCCATCAACCTTTGCTCTGTCATTAAAACCATAAACATCTAATCAAAATTTACATTTTTCAGTTATTTATCTTGAGAATGCAACCGAAACAGTAAACACACTAATGTGTTGACTTTGTATGCATTTGATTCGACAACACATTAAATTTCTCATTCATATTTAATTAGTAATTATGTTAATTGCGTAAACAAAGTTTATGTTTAAAATGAATTCCCTTAAAATAAAAATGTATAGTAACGATTTTACACGAATTCAACCATTTGCATGATGTGGACAACGCGATTGTATCGACAAAGTTAATATAATTAATTAGAAATTGTAAGAGAATCAATACTGATCTAACATATTCTTGAATATCTCTCCAATTAGACACAGTGTTCTAAATTATAAATTACACTTACGTGTGGAACGTCTTCAGCGTAATTTCATCATACGTCATCCACATAAATTGTCATCAGTCATTTATAATGCATGACAGATATCAATCTAAGTTAAAAATCAGATGTTCTACAGTAGAGTTTCTCAACATATTTAACGAATTACCCAACATATTTGTTAGTTAGTTGTACAGCGATCCTATCGATAACAGTTTTTCACCAGCTCCTCAGTTGTGACACAAGGTGACAACAGCTGTCAATACAATTTTTGTCGCGACTTTATTGAGAAACGCTGTTCTACAGGGTAGTGTATTAGGACTCATTTCATATCTGTGACAAAAACGTTTTGATGATAACATTATAAAACTAAAAATACAATTGAACCCTTTGCACTAACCACGTTCCATTTGGACATTCTTAAAGATTGAATAATCATATTTTAACTACGAATCATGTTACGTTTTATTCAGATTCCAACTACAAAATTTAAAAATTTAGATCTACTTTCACTTTGTAAGATATTTTTACTTTCTTATAATCGCATCAACTGTGAGATAAATTGATTTTTTTTTATTATTAAGAAATCACTTTTTTGGAAGAGAAAACTAATCTTTTAGATATAATTTACAGAGTGACTTTTTTTCTTCAACGCTTATAGTTGTTAGCATTTTGATGTACAAATAAAAAAGTATAATTGGAAAAAATACTGTCTAATTAGTTTAGTATTTTTTTAAGTATAAGTAATTTGTATTTAAAAAGATTCAATAAATAATACACACATTTTTTAATCATTGAAGTAGAAACAAATTATTTTCTAAGTATAATATTTAATGGAAGGATTTGCGCTGTGAGCTAAACTCTGGTTTATTCCTTTGTTAAGGTGGGTATTATATAAATTAGTAAAGTGCGCGGTGTTCAATTCACCGAAGGTTGAAAATAAATGCAGCAATGAGCCGCACGGAAACACTGGCATTACATCTAGTAAACAGCTTGAATACGAACGCTTCTAAGGATCTCTGTATCACGAATAGTTCATGGGATCGATATCCTAATTAACATTAACGTCCTTACTCCAAATATTTCATTACAGTGCAAACGCATTCAGTCGAAATTACTGATCGCTTTTTTACAGTAAACACGGCTAATAGCTTTTCCTTGCGCATTTATGATTCATACCGAATTAACACGAGTATTCATTAGTTTGTTTTCAAATAAGAACATTTTAATTCATACAAATGATTCGCTCATACTCAAATGTCTGTAATCTTCTAAAAATCGGAGATATTCTAGAAAAATATTTCAAATAAAACACAAATGTCCATAATGTAAATCAGCGTTTCTCAACTTTTTTGCCGCGAAATCCAACATTCTTGTTACTTATGAAACTGCGACCCAATTGTTTGTAACATATTTTATATGACGTAAGTTGACAGCTGTCATTTCTCAACCCATTGAACTTTGAACGTGACTCACTATTGGTTAGCAACCAATAGGTTTAGAGGCATTGTAGTAAAAGATGAATAGTTGACAATTGAAGATATTTTTTTATTAAAAAGTTCTTTAGTTTTGATTCTAAGTAAGAAAAATTCATATTTATATGATTTGCTCATACTCAAAATATTAAGTCAAGAACAATTCATAGATTTATAATTTGCTTGCACTAAAATATCTATAATATTGTAAAACAGCGTTTCTCAACGTTTTTGCTGTACAACCCAACATTTTTGTTTGTTGTTAAACTGTGAACCAATTGTTTGTAATATATTATATATGACGTAAGTTGACAGATGTCATTTTGCGACTGAATAAATTTATTGGTAAGTAACAAAAGGTTTAGAAGCATTGTAGTAAAAGATGAATAGTTGACAATTGAAGATATTTTTTTATTAAAAAGTTCTTTAGTTTTGATTCTAAGTAAGAAAAATTCATATTTATATGATTTGCTCATACTCAAAATATTAAGTCAAGAACAATTCATAGATTTATAATTTGCTTGCACTAAAATATCTATAATATTGTAAAACAGCGTTTCTCAACTTTTTTGCTGTGCAACCCAACATTTTTGTTTGTTGTTAAACTACGAACCAATTGTTTGTAACATATTTTATATGACGTAAGTTGACAGCTGTCATTTCGCGACTCAATAAATTTCGAACGTGACTCACTATTGGTAAGTAACAATAGGTTTAGAAGCACTGTAGTAAAAGATGAATAGTTGACAATTGAAGATATTTTTGATTAAAAAAGTTTTTTAGTTTTGATTCTAAGTAAGAAAAGTTCATATTAAAAATATTAAGTCAAGAACAAAATGTCTATAAAATGTCTATAATATTGTAAAACAGCGTTTCTTAACTTTTTTACTGTGCAATCCAACATTGACGTAAGTTGACAGCTGTCATTAACTATATTTTTTTATTAAAAACTTATGAACTTTAGTTTTGATTTCAAATAAGAAAAAATAATGTATATATATGATTTGTTCATACTCAAATCTTTACAATGTTGTAAAAGGTTAAAAAGTTAATAATGTAATCGCAAGTATTTATTGTTTTTTACAAATAAAAAAAAACGGATATTCTAATAAACTTTTTCGATTTTCTTATCTGACGTTATAAACAGCTGTCGACACTTGAATCGACTTAATGCTAATAATATCTACTGCAATGTCAGATATTGTCGGAGATCGCAAAACAAATAAGATTAGCTTCAGGTTTTTTTTTGTTTTTTTGCAAATTATTGAGTTGTCTCATTACATGATAAACGGGGTCAATGTCAAAAGGTTTATTTTCAATAAACAGTAAACCGTAATCTGTGTAAAATAAAATCATTATCGTACAATTGAATCTTTCCAACACCGGATGTTTTATATTTTATTTTATAATTTGAAAGAAATACTGTATTAAAGGCTGAAAAGACCTATTGTCAATAGCGCTTTGCAGAAATTAATCTTTTTTGTTTTCTTATTTTTTCTTATAGAAATGTCTAATTTAGTTTTTTTACTGTTGCAATAACGATTATTATTAGCTAATTAACAAAAACAATTTTATAAGAATGATTAATTTTAATTGATTGTTAAAATTGATAAGAAAGTTACAACATGTATTTTTTTTGGAGTAAACTATATGAATGTGTTAAATTTGAATCAATTAAATAGAATCACAACAGAAAGAAATCCTTGAAATATCTAAGTTAAATTTATAATGAGGCGAGAATTGACAGCTGTCACCTTACGTCAAAGCGTCAAAAAATGAACAATTGAGTCGTACAAGATCTATAATGTAATATGTCGAGGTTGAAAACGCGTTATGCCAAATTTAATTACAACACAAAGAAAGAAATCCTTGATATTTCTAAGCCAGCGTTAAAATTTGTACTTAGTCGCAAAATGACAGCTGTCATCTTACGTCAAAATGTCAAATATATTGGGTTATAAAACATTGAGTCGTACAACGACTATAATCAAACATGTTGGGTCGCGCGGCAAAAAGGTAGAGAAGCGCTGTTCTAAGTCTCTAGTTCATTAGAGTCTAATAATAGTCAACAAGATAAAAAGATAGAGTTCTAAAGATAAAACTTTTATCTAATAAGAAAATTGTCTTGGATTTGAAGAAGACTTATTTCTATTGGATACAAATTTATAATCATTAAATTATTAATTGAAGTTCGCAAACTTTAATAGATTTTTTTTGGAATTGGAAAAATATAAAGTTTTTTGGAAATGAAGTAGAAACAGTTTTCAAAAATAAATAGTATCATAAAATATTGATATAATATTTTGGTATTGAAGCAAAATAATTTCAATTGAAAAAAAAAGATGAAAATAAATTTGAACTGCGATTTTGATATCTTGAATAGAATTTGCATTCATTGTTTTCATGTTATAACAAAATTTCATTACACTAACTTGATTTTAATTTCTTTATTGCTCAGGAAATATGACGTTTCAAATTCATATAATATCCATGCATTTTTTTCTTATTTATCTTATATTTTAAGCTCGAACGCGAAAAATCGATTGTAATTTTTCCGACTATTACTACTGTCACTATTGACATACATATTTTTTTTTCGTTGGTTGGATAAATGTGTTCCACACATAATGCAGAACACATTGTTTCATTATCTTTACATAATATCTAGTCATGCGAAAGCGCAATTACGACTCAATTATCTATATTTTCTATTGTTTTTAAAATTCAATGCACTTCTAAACATTACATTTAGTTTAATTATTTTGTTTAATTATTTGATGTCATTAATTGACGTTTAAAATCAAAACAAAATTTAATAAAATGTATTAAGTTAAGCAACGAAATATATCTTGTTTTTTATCATTAATGTTTATAGCTGTGATTTGGTGTGCTTCGAAAATTTTAAAAGATAATTCAATTATTATTCAAAGAAGTTTAACTATAGGTTATAGTGTGATGATTTGAAAAACATTTGTTTAAATAATATGAATATAATATTTTAAAGTCAATTATAGTTATGATGGAGCTATGTTTTCAAGATGATTTAAGGTATTTTACAAATACTTAAAAAAATGTAACTTTTGAATTGTTATTAAAACTGAGTTCTTTTTAATTATATAAGAGATAATCCCAGATATCTACTTGTGGATAGTTATAAAATGTTTATGAAGTGAGCAAATAGATAACATGGAACACTCACCTGCACATGTCTGAGGCGTAGAGTTTGAAAGTTTCGCCCTTTTTAATGTAAGGTGGATAGATACTAATATCTCTTCCTTCGACTTTGTTGCAACTTGCTTCTTCACCACCTGGCCAGAAATCGACGGAAGTCAATCCGTTCCACGACATAATTTTGCCGATTTGGCTGATATCGTCAATGCCCCTTTTGGCCACGTACAGTCCATCATCCGTTTCGGATTTCTAGAGAACGAATTAAAAAATATAATTATCAAGAGATATTTCAAACAAAAAGAAACTAAACTTACGAATCTGAGTAAACTGTATATCATGGAGCCATCATCTTTGTATTCGACTACTTTCACGTTCATGAACATGAAGACCAAGCACAGAAGTTTTCCTTCCCACTTAGTCTTTGCTGGATCGCAGAAAGGTATACCCCCGAAAAGAATGTCTTTTACTACCAATTTCTGAATAAGTTCAGACTCATCCAATATTTGACTGAGGGCGGATTTCAAATCGAGGGGAAGCTTCATGCCGGTAGATTCCATGTATTGGTAGATACCCTACAAAGTGAATAAAATAAGAAATATAGATATTCGCGGCGACGGATCACGAGCAAGACACTAACCCAAACCAGAGGATTGATCGTGGTGATTTTATCGTCGGGAGTTAAGGAATCATCAGTGCGTTCCCTGTCGAAGCTGAAATCTTGCCTCTGCCTGTACTCGACAAGATCTCCGTCCAATTTTATACCAGTCTTGTAACGCCTCTCGCTGAAACGAATGGTTAATGAAATGCTTTAATCTTGCAACGGTGGCTGATTTACTTGTAAACGTATGGTCCGATCTCTCTGAGTTTCGGAGCTTCTTCTCCAGTCAACATTTTATCTGTATTCTCGACTTCGAAGAAGTAGATCTTGAAGTCCAAAGGAAACGGGACCTCCTCGAACACATCCCAAGCCATGGAGCCATCCTCCAGGCGCAGATTCTGCAAGTGAATGTTATCGTTTATTTTTTTTAATTCGCACTCGTCGTTTTTTCGAAAATATTACAGATTCCATAACATCGGTGACGATTGTCGGTATTCCATAGGTGGCCAACAGAAGAGTCACGAACAGCAACACCACAGCTACCACACTCGTTATAAACGTACACCTTTGCTTCCTCGTTTTCAGCATGTTTGGTCCTATATTCAAATACCGAAACTGACACCGAACATTTTCTATTCACTTATATAATACAAATAAATGTTATCAGAAATGAGATAACAAATATATTTTTTTTTGTAATTGTAATTTGAAGTGCATTATTCCTTAGAGGGTGGGGATGCTATATGGATTCGTACATCGATTGCATTGCGTAAAAGAAGGTGTTTTTTTCTTTGCTTACACAACATTTACATGCTGACAGCAAAAACAATTCCTAATATTTATTCTGCGCTTGAATTATTTAGGACCCAACGTTTGTACTAATGGTTAACTCCATCGATTTTCTCATTAGACCCAAAGTGCAATTCAACAAATTACATTTAAATTGGTATTTTTCATTATTCAACGTTTAAATTGAAGAGTTTCTCGTTTGATATCAAACCCAATGATTTACTTACAACAATGAGATGACATAACTTGAGTTGACGTAACTACAAATGACATTACTTGAGTTGACATAACTCAAAATCAAAATCAAATAACTGGAAAAACAAAATAAAGTTGACAAATACCAAATGTCAAAATTTGTCATTAAAAAATATTTCTTTTCTTTAAACATGTATAAATCTAATTAATATCAATATTTTTTTTTTTAAATATAATTAAAATTTTCTTCTGTTAATGTAATAAGAAAAATAATATAACTGAAAGAATCATTGATTATAAATTAACAGGGAATTCGTTATTTCATGTGCAAAATCGATCCGTTCGGTTCTTCAATCAACGAAATTGCAATTATCTGTGGGAATTCGAGCGGCTTGCGATAGCGAACCGTAATGAAAGAATATATTATTTAATTTAGACGTAACCCATACATTCTCACCGTCAAATATTCACAGCGAACCCAGATATTTAAACAAATATATAGTAAATTAGTTGGTTCCTATCATCGAGCAATTGTTTGTGGTAAAGTTGGGATATTTCTCAAGTAGGAGACTTATTTTTATACAATTAAAGAAAATTGTTTTTATTAATATAACAAAAATACTTCAATTGACACTCAATGAGATAAAATTAAAGCAGACGCAGACGGTGATGTGATATTATCAATATATAAATGTTGATTCTTTATAATTAAAAACATTGAATTATAGTAGACAAATCAATATTTTTTTTTGTGAAAATTAATACAGTGCTTCAAATTGTGAATGTATTATCAAATTGATTTTAGGTCAGTGTATGTAGGAGGAATAAGTTGGCTTAGTTTTTCGAAACTCGACTCAGATTTTAAAGAAATACTCATAATCTGATAAGAAAAATCTTTAGATAAATAATTGCTTCTGTGCATGAAATATATATATTTCATTTTGTTGATTGATTTATTTAGTTCTTATACAAACAATTAGAAATGTTAGAAATCTTATAACATTCTGCTTGGAAAACTGTTAAGCATTTATATATGCAATCAAAAATGTAATTGGATTTATGTAACTTCGATTGAACAATAATCTAGTCTTCCTTTAACCGTCTATAAAACTGTTGAAAATTTAACAATCTTTTGCAACAAAGTAGAATTGGTTATGACAACATTCTTAATATAATTATGTATAGTATACAAATAAAATCTACACCCATTTAATCCAATAAGATCAAATTGAAAGAATGTCCTTACAATAAACTTGAATAATTGAGTTCAGTATCCCAGATTAATCTGAAGTATTGTTTCGACCTTATCTATAAACTTAAATGAGAATCAATGAATGATTGTTATTTTTATCTATACTCTTATCAGATGATATGTTTATATATTTTAAAATAGTTAATCTTGCTGCTATGATTAGAAATGAAAAAATAAAATAAAATAAAAACGAAAATATATGCACTAAAAATAGTTTTCTTATATACTATATTGCTGGTTAAGTGAAGATGGTAGCATATGGTTGTTTTATGTAAGTACTCAATTTGCTCAATAAGTAATAAACACACCTATCCCTCGTTTTACTCGTTTTTTCGCAGGTGTAAATCGATTATTTTCAACATTTATTTATTCATTTAATTTTTTGTTAAACGGTGTAAAAGCGAAAACATGTAAATAAAGTACCGTGTAAAACGAGAGATATCTTATTTTCAATATTTATTTTTTTTTAACGTGTAAAACGAAATCGTGTAAGTGGAGTACCGTGTAAAACGATTGATATGTCAAATGTCCTTTTTTATTATTAATTCAACACCTACATCTAGAAAGCTGGGTATAACGAATGAAATTTGTTTATAGGTCAAATCCTTAGTTGTAGTCATATTGATCATACTGATATACTTAAGTTATTCAATTTACTTCTTTTGTTTTGATGAAAGTCAATGTCAAATGTCATTTTTTTTTTATTAATTCAACACCTACATCTAGAAAGCAAGGTATAACGAATGAAATTTGTTTATAGGTCAAATCCTTAGTTGTAGTCATATTGATCATACTGATATACTTAAGTTATTCAATTTACTTCTTTTGTTTCGATGAAAGTAATGTCAAATGTCATTTTTTTGTATTAATTCAACACCTACATCTAGAAAGCTGGGTATAATGAATGAAATTTGTTGATAGGTCAAATCCTTAGTTGTGCATATTAGTTGTAGTCATAGTGATCATACTAATAACTTAAGTTATTCAATTTATTTCATTTGTTTCGATGAAAGTAATGGCTAATGTCAAATGTCATTTTTATTAATTCAACACCTACATCTAGAAAACAGAGTATAACGAATTTGTTGATAGGTCAAATCTTCTGTTGTGTATATTAGTTGTAGTCATATTGATCATACTGATATACTTAATTTATTCAATTTACTTCTTTTGTTTCGATAAAGTAATGGCTAATGTCAAATGTCATTTTTTTTATTAATTCAACACCTACATCTAGAAAGCAGGGTATAACAAGAATTTTTTGATAGGTCAAATCCTTAGTTTCTTTAGCAACAGATCATCTAAAAATCACCAAATATTAATTGATATAGATTTATTTACCTGTTTCAAATCCACAAGATAGTATATATAGTGCTCAACAGAATTAAGCGATTGATTTTGAAGCTGCTTTCATCTTAAAATAAACTTTCATTTAAATTAATAATACTCGCTTGCAAAATTAAGAAATATCTCTTTGAAGCCCTTATTTGCTCGTGTTTTTAATGCAGAAGCATTCGTTTCCATTGATAAAGTGCTTTTATCCATTATTTATCTGTCACTCGTTATCTCTTTGTCGTTGACATAATTTAGCGCCACGGTTCTTAAAGTGCCAATACAAATACGCGTTATCATCTATAGATTAAGATCACACCGGATGGCTGCATCAGCAGTTATCTTAGTCTTCTCTTACCATAATCTTCATTCCAGTCGTGCAAAAGTTGAAAAATCTTCCAATTGACATCTTGGACTTTTCCCTAAAATATTTCTTTCTTCTAAGATAACAGATTTCTCAATTTTTTACAGTAGCAAAAAAAAACGGTGAACATTTGAATTGAATTGTATAATAATAACAGGCAATTCGGTCCTTATCAGTTAGTGCATATAGACCGAATTATAATTGACTTTTGCACAGTTCGATAACGTTAAATGAGTTTTAAAGTCTATACAATAAAAAAACAACAATGGTATAATATAACCGCAAAGATTCATAATTAATCCTAATCAAAAGTTTTTGTTTCATATCTACGATTGTGGTAATTTTAGTGCACCCATGCGGTATTTGAAAATTGTAACAAAAATATGAGTAATCTATCAAAATTGAATGTATTACTTATAAATTGTGACAAAGCGTTTTTATTTAAATTGATTTACATGATTTGTTTATGCTAAAATAGGTTTAAATCACTCCTGTCAAAATGTTGTCAATACCGAATTTTGTCAATAAATTATCGTAAAAAAATAGTTTTAAATAAAAGTTTTAATTTTTTTTTTGAAACTGCAATTGTAGTAATTTTACTTACACATGAGATAATTGAAAATTGTAACAAATTGAATGATCTTTCAAAATTGAGTGTAAAATGTACAAAAATCTGACATTTTAACCAGTCAAAGCGTTTTTATTTTGTTTATGCTAAAATAGGTTTAAATCACTCCTGTCAAAATGCTGTCAATACCGAATTTTGTCAATAAATTATCGTAAAAAATAGTTTTAAATAAAAGTTTTTACTTTTTTTCTTTGAAACTGCAATATTTTTAGTTATTAAATTACTTTAATAACTGCAATTGTAGTAATTTTAGTTACACATGCGATAATTGAAAATTGTAACAAATTGAATGATATATCAAAATTGAGTGTTAAATGTTAAAAATTGTGACAGTTTAACCTGTCAATGCGTTTTTGTTTAAATAGATTTACATCAGTCCTGTCAAAATGTTGTCAAATTCGGATTTTGTCAATAAATCATTCAAAAAAAAATAGTTTCAAAATTAAAATTTTGCAATAAATTTATAATTATTTTAGATTTTTGTATATAGTTTATTATAAATAAAGTTGTACACTACTTTACATACTAAACTTATTCTTATTTTGGTTCATCTTTAGTCAGGATTTGATACAGTTTTTGTGTATATACTGGAAATAACTTTAATTATTAATATTTTTACACTTGAAATATATTTTCACTAATTTACACTATCTGTTGTGAGAATACGTTAAAAATTAAAAATAAAACCTTCCATCCCTTATTTCTTGTCTGAAAATTCGGAATTAAGTTTCTACAAGTCCGAAACGAAAGTGCATATCTACAAATTAGGGTCATAAAACAGTTTACAATCAAAAAAATCGATCTAATCGCATCGATATTTCATCTGTGCTTAAGTATGCAGTACAAATTTCAATGTCCTTCTCTTATCTCCATTCGCGTCTTTCTCAAATGCACAATTCATATTGCAATTATTAAATATAATGAATATTATTTTTTGACGTACAAAAATAGCTTGTTATAATACGTTTGTGTACATCGGAATGATCAGCACAATAATCTAATCGCCTTATCGGCTTTACTGTTATGCAAGGCCGTATCAGAAAACAAAAAATACAATTTTTATTATCGGGATTACAATGTAGATCCCCCATGAAGTGCCAACGCAACATCGATTCTTTGTTTTTTTGCTTTCTGCTTTTATTATATCATCATTTGAACAAACCATGTCGAATTTCAATCATGAATCAATATGTTTGGTAAATGTGTTTACACGACATTAATTGCAATCGTATTCCGCAGATATACATCGATACATAATAAATAACATACTGATTTCGCACATGACATTATTCGCAGTGACAGTTTGAGTAAATTATGAATCGAATGATAAATTAATTTCGAGGTCTTCCACAAAGTTATTAAGTCACAGAGTTTTTTTGTTGAATAAATTTAGGATAGATCAAAGAGAACTATAAAAATATTTCGGCAACGAAAGGTAAAAGAAGATGTATATGAGTGTGTGTTTTTTTTTTGTAATTGGTTTTTATTCAAAAAATTTAAATAATTTATTGCAAACTCTGATGGATGATTGATTGCATGTATGATTTTTGTTGTTTCTCAGCATTTCCTTGGTATGCTAATCGACGCGTTTCGAAAATTGAAGAAAATTAATGTAATTATTGCAAACTGGTTCTGGTGAAGACGAATCCAGTTTTCCGAATGCTATACGTGTAATCTTGCTGCTTAGATGATGTTGCAGTTGTCGGTTTAGAGTACTTGTATTGAAATGTCGTCGGTCTTTTCGTCGTGTACTTTGTGGTTTTCTTCTGGGTGGTCCAGATGCGAGACGTTGTGGTTTGATAATACTTGATTGTGGATTTTGGAGATGTTGTCCATCTGGTTGTGGGTTTCGAGGTTGTCGTCCATCTAGTGGTGGGTTTCGGGGTGGCGGTTGTGGGTATCATTGATACTTTGTTCTTCATGAGTCTGGTTTCCGCTGTGAAGCAGTCTTCCACCAAAGACTGCACGTAGTATTGATCCTTGCAGTACGCGTTGTAGACGACCCAGGCGTTGAAGCCATCTCCGGATAACCTCTTGTGCTCCCTGTGGATCCTCCGCGCGCAAATCACGTCATCTTCGATGTCGTCGTCACGGAGATCTCTGCATGGGACGCCGCAGGCGTATCCATGCGGGGAACACCAATACAGTTCACTTATCTACAAAACAATAGTACAAATGTCAGTTACGAACCTCAAATTCTCGCAATCATCTTCAGAGTGTACCTGAAACAATCCATGATCACCGCTTCCCGGATTCAATGCGGACGTGTTGTACTCGGACTCGTGCCTCGCAAGGCACACCCAAGTGGCCACCTGGTGCTCGGGGATCTCGTGCACGTCGAGCAGTTCTCGCGCCAACTCGCATCTGTCGTACACTTTGCCGGACGCGAGTGTCGTTAACACCGCGCAAACAACAATAATTTGTATTCCTCTTCGACCCATCGATTCCATGGCTGTGAAAGGTCTTCAGAGACCGTTCACTTTTATTGGCCCGTCCCGAGATCCGTTGGAGGTGGGTCGTTTACAACTACATTAACATCTATTGATAATAACATTAAATTATGGTGATGTCTCCAGGAATCTCGACGACAATAAACTCTTAAATTTGTATCCATTGTCACCGCGGATGCACCGCTTCCACCTGCGAATGCACACACATCCATATAATTGGTTTCCAATTAATTTCACATTAATTACTTTCACTCTCTTTCCACATGGAAGCAAAAACAATCTTGTTTACCGTAATGAAGACGTTATTCCAAAAGTCATCATCCTAATTAAATGATAAACATCTTGATACAATCTCTGTTAATTACAACTACAAATACTCAAATATCCAGAGACATAAGTGCAAATCATTCAATTTCTAAGAAATCTATTGGTTGATATAAGTGTCATAAAAGAAGCGTTGTCCTTAGTTTTTAAATAACTTTTAACTGTATATGAATATGTTTCATAATATCAATACTTTACTTAACTATTCAGAAAATGGATCAAATATACGAAAAGTCAAAAACGCACCTCTAACTGTTAAAACATATACCATATTACTCTTTTTTTATAATATTTTCAGTTGTTTCTTATATTATTTATAAATTTTATCTGAATAATGTCTTTTAATTACAACTAAAAATACTCAAAAAACATAAATGCAAATCATTCAATTTCTAAGAAATCTATCGGTTGAAATAAGTGTCATAAAAGAAGCGTTATAATTTCGTTTTTAAATAACTTTTAATTGTAATATGAATATGTTTCTTAAAATCAATACTTTACACAACCTTTCAGAAAATGGATGAAATATACTAAAAGCCAAGAAAACAACTTTAACTTTTATAAAATATATCATCTTACAACAACTTTTTTTTTATAACATTTTCGCTTTTTTCTAACATTATTTATAAATTTTACACCAATAATCTCTGTTAATTATAACTACAAATACTCCAAAAATTAGAGACATAAGTGCAAATCATTCAATTTCCAAGAAATCTATTGATTGAAATGATTGTCATAAAAGAAGCATTATCATTTAGTTTTTAAATAACTTTGAATAGAATTTAATATAAATATGATGCACCAAATATTCTAAAATTTAAAAACGCAACTCTAATTGATAAAAAGAAACCATCTTACAACAACATTTTTTTTATAAAATTTTCACTTGATTCTTATAAAGAAATTTGACCCCAATAACAGCTATATAATATTCGATTGTAGAATTTTCTTACTCCAATTCTTCTTCGATTATCGTTTTCTCTTCAATATTTTGAACTCTTAAATACGAACAATACTTTTTTTTCAATTATACAAGCAACAATTAATTAACGAAAAACTTCAATAATTTTCTTGACGTTTTCACAAGTACGCTTGATTTTTATTTATACACGTTTTTTATAACAATAACACGTTTATCAAACGTCGAATGAATACAAAATAGTAACGATTCATTTATGACATAATATGAACAAATTTGAAGTCTATTTATCTTGATTGATCAATTAACAATCATTATTTTTTGTATATTACAACCACTATAATCATAGAATCAAATCAATAATTAATAAGAATGAGAGGCATAATTTTTTGTGAGATGGTTCAATAAATAAGTTATAATTATTATTTCTGTCAGAAGGATTGGAGGTCGAAAGCTCTTTGACCTCACTCAATAAATATTGTACATGATTATATTCATTATTGGCTTTTTGTTTCTTATTCCGATCTCGAAATACATAAACGCTTTGTTTTGTAATATATTTGTTATTGTATATATTAATAAAATTGAATTAAAAAATGGTATAAATAATTCAGACAATTTTTATTCAAATTTTGTTTTCCAAATATGTTTTGATCCACCCTAAAGAAATATATCAGAAGATATGATTCATCTTAAAAAAAAATGAATATTACAAAATTCATCAAGCTCATGATGAGAAATAAGTAGTAACTAACATATTCGGATGAAGATAAGAATTAAATATTGCAAATTCTAATTGTTAAGCATAAGAGATAGAAGGAAGTTCGGATAAGAAAATTGTATTTACAAAATGCAGTTATGAGGTCAGGAAACATTGAAATTCTTCAGGGATTCCAATTGAAAACAATCACGGATGCACTAAGGTATGTATTGTACAGTGTTGCAAACAATTACTTCATTTGTTAAAAAGTATATTTATTCTTTGTTAAAAGTACTAAAGGTTACTATAGTTACACCCAAACAACACCATAGAACATATCCCAAAAATAGTATGTTACCATAGAGATGTGTTATATTATTATTCTAAACCCACAATTCAAGTTAATTTAGTTTAACAGTAATAAATATTTAAATTATCAATTTAATTACGTTTTTGATAAATGAAGCAAACTTTTTATATACAGTAAATTACGGCTAAATGCCAAATTGTACAACTATACCAGTATATATACAGTTTTGAAGTGTGAATATTTTACTTCAATTTTGTTGCTCACAATTTTCGAGATATAAGCAAAAATATAAAGACACTGCTTTTTCGAAAATTAAAAAAAAAATCTTCACGTTTGACAGTAAATTAAGCAAAAAGAGAAATAACAAATACAAACATACGTATTTAAGAGTGGTTTATTTTTATTTGAATATTTATCTTTAATTTGATTGCTCAATAAGTATGGGCAACAAATTCAGCCCATACTTTTCAAGATATAAGCAAAAATTTAGACATTGCATTTTCTAAATTAAAAAAATAAACGTTTCTTCAAGTTTTACTTTAATTTGGTTATTCAACATTGAATTTGTCGCCCATACTTTTTGAGATATAAGCAAAAAAATGTAGACATTGCTTTTTCGAAACTTAAAAAAACGACGTTTCTTCAAATTTGACAGTGAATTAAACAAAATTATAAATGATAAGTATACCAATACATACGTTTTAAAGAGTGAATATTTTGCTTAAATGTGGTTGCTCAACATTGAATTTGTCAGCCATACTTTTTCAGTTATAAGCAAAAATTGTAAAGTCATTGCTTATTCGAAGCTTAGAAAACGTTTTTCAAGTTTGACAGTGAATTACGGTTAAATAGCAAATGATACAACTCTACCAGATATTCACGTTTTAAAGAGTGAATATTTTGCTTTAATTTGGTTGCACAACATTGAATTTGTCTCCCATACTTTTTGAGTTATAAGTAAAAATGTAAAGTTATTGCTTATTCGAAACATAATATGACAGTGAATTACGGTTAAATAACGAATGATACAACTGTGCCAATATTTACGTTTTATAGAGTGAATATTTTGCTTTAATTTAGTTGCTCACCATTTCATTTGTCGCCCATACTTTTTGAGTTATAAGCAAAAAAGTTAAGTCACTGCTTATTCGAAGCTTAGAAAACGTTTTTCAAGTTCGACAGTGAATTACGGTTAAATAACAAATGATACAACTGTACCAGTATTCTCGTTTTAAAGAGTGAATATTTTGCTTTAATTTGGTTGCTCAACATTGAATTTGTCGCCCATACTTTTTGAGTTATAAGTAAAAATGTAAAGTTATTGCTTTTTTGAAGCGTACAAAACGTTTTTCAAGTTTGATACAATTACACCAGTGGCTGTTCAATAATAAATATGTGACCCATAGTTTTCGAGATAATAAATACACAAAAATGCAAAACAAAAATATTAAAAATATAAGGATAATTATTCATAATCATTGCCCTTTACAATTGAATTAAATATTTAATTTTTTTCTCAACATCCAAGGATTTATGATGAAGTTGGTTCAAGAAATGAATGGCAATCATTCATATTTTTATTGCGATCTCGGGAATTCAGGTAGATAAAAAAAAAATGTATATATGTATGGTTATTAATTCGATTTCCAGTGAATTTACGATGCGGTATATTATGATATGGAAAAATTAAAACCGAAAATGTCAGTTGCATTTACACATATTTTTTTTCTATGTTGTTCAACAGTTATTATTACCTCTTTCTTCGATTGAAATGTATTAGTTAAATACGTTTGTATTCTATGTTTATCATAATAAATTACAATGATTTGTATATTTTTGAGAAATGATTGTTCCAAAAATTATATTAAAACATTAACAGTTTTTATCATTAGTTTTTAACCCGTAACAACTACGGACATATTGTTTTGTCCAAACATTATTATTATAATTGTTATTGTTGCTATAGTGTATTAACGAACTAGAGACATCCCGGCGTCTCTTAGTCGCATTATTATATAAACATATACATCAGCATAAAGGAATCTCTACCGTGATCCCAGTTCGTTAGACTTTAATATAAACAAAGGGGACCAAGCGTAAACATTCCCATCGATACTCCTATACCTTTATACCGAATTCAAGTCCTTATTATAAACACATAATGATCATTACACGTACAATCGTCATCGATCCTCTTTTTCATATAAACAAATGCATAGGATTTTGCCCCGGTCTTATAATAAACAAAACCACCGAAGCCAAATCTCCAACTCCCATCCCGTATTAATAAAAATTCTGTAAGTAGAATAAGTATTTAGAATCAGTCTCAGTAAAACCTTCAAAGACTGATATAGTCTCAGTAAAACCTTAATAAGATGAACATAGTCTTATAAAAATCTTAATATGATGAGCATAGTCTCAGATAAATCTTAAATCGACCAAGTAACGAATAAAGTTATGTCAAACCAAACAAATTTCATTAAATTCTCAACTATTGAGACTCCACAACGACAACACCGGACAATATACCACTGTGTCCAGAATTCCATCCCTGGGACGCGACAATATAAGAAAAACACATATGGGACAAAATGACCCGTTTATTAAATATTAAATGAAAAAGAACAAATTTTGAATTTTTACAACAAGAACATTAGTTCTTATTGTTCTATGAATTTAACATCATTCAAAACTGATTTTATTGCTCAAAACATGCAAAGCATGTCACAAAACGTGACTGTTTTCTTGTCGCTCTTTCTTGGACAAAACAGACACTATTTTCTTTTGGATGTATAAATCTGTTCATTAGGTTGTGTTTCCAAAGGCATTTTAAACCTGCATGACATATGTAAGCAGAATTCTAAGGTTTTTGGGAAATCTTTTGGTTTCACATTCGATCATGCATATATGGATTTTCTACTTGTTTTATCAAATACCTTCTTTTCTAATGTTGAGTATTCATATATAACTCTACTGTTTATTTAACCTGTTTTAGTCTCATTAGTTTTTGTCTTTTCATTCACAGTACTAGAGTGGTTCATACTGGATATAAGAATTACTGATTTTCCCCGTCTTAATACATGGAAAACTAAAGTTATTCTACTTGTAAATCCACATATTGATGATATTTCAAGAACGTATTTGCTAGAGACGGGTCACTTTGATCTGAAATACACTCTAAAATAAAGTAAATTCGTCTCGTCGCGACTGCTTTGCTCCTACTGAAAAGTGCACTAGATCAATGCCGGTCAACGTTTGATAATTTTACCGCCGCCCGCTGATACAGTTACACCAAAATATGAATATAAAGTGATTTAACTCACTAGATTCTAGTGAGTTGGAGTCTGGTTGGAGACCACTGCACTAGATAATAGCTAGAAGGCGAAATGATAACAAATATTAAGTGGTCACTTTGACCCATCCGTAGTTCTTACAAGTTAAATCTTAAGTTAATATTCTTACTTTAATTTTCAATGAAAATCAATATTTTATTGATTGAATCTTATTAGTAGAAAATTCATTAATTTCCAATTTAAATTACATAAATAATTTTGGATTTACATAATCCATAATTTCTATATTATATAAACATATTTACCTTTAAATCTTAGTATCCTTAAATAAACAAATGGAATTGTAGAAATATCGAAATAATTGCGCATAACAAAATGAATATACTTGAAACAATTGATATGCTAATTATAATTGATTCAAAACGCGAAACTAAAATATGTACAACAAAAAAAAAGAAGAAATATAAATGTTATATTAAAAATAAAATTTGATATGTTTATCAAATTAATGTATTCAAACATTGCGTGCGTCACCTGTTCTTTTAATGTGTTAATCATTAAGTTCTTGTTTCAAATACGCTTCTAGCTAAAAATTAAGATGTAAACCTGAAGAAGAAACCACATTCTTTGTTAGCGAAGTAATACTGATGAAGATGAACACACACACACGAAGTAATTAATATGTAATTCTACGGTGTAGGAAGTAGTAATTATTATTATGATTAATTATACGTTTCTAGACGGCAGATCATAAATGTTTACTGTGTACTTGTGTACTAATTATTTGCATGCAATCTCGTGAAGAAAATTATGAAAATAAGTAATTAAATTTCATTTTCTCAATACCAAATCATTAATTTTTGTATTAAGTCATAATGAAAGTTGATAGATATTATTAAAGTAGTCTTAGTTGTTATAACTGTAAAACGTTCAACAATTTCTGAAGACAGATACAAGCATATTTTGTACAATTTAAAAATAATTAAGGAAAAGCAATACATTTCATATTGTTGAAAAAGAAGTGAAGTAGATTTAAGAAGTATGGAAAAATCTTTAAATTATGTTTAGAAAACTGGGTCTATATCGCAAGCCCGACAACCGAAAGACCGTCTATTGAAATCCCGACGTTCGAAATCTCGACGCTTGAAATCCCGACTATGTCAAAATCTCGACTACCATAATCCCGGCTGACTCAAAATCCCGACTATATCGAAATCCCGACTACCATAATCCCGACAATCAAAATCCCGACTACCATAAAAATATTACTGTAGAAATTTATAATAATTAAAGACACTGTCGGGATTATGGTAGTCGGGATTTTGAGCCAGCCGGGATTTCGGTTGTCGGGCTTGTAATTGCCACCGTAGAAAACTATATATAAAAAAGTAATAAATTTTAGAAAATTTTATTTTTTAACTTGAAATTCTTAATAGATTTACTCAAAATAAGTGCGTTGCGCTATATATTTGCACTATGATGTAGAATTTCTATTAATAATCAGGATTGTCTGGATTCATGTTTAGAGTATCCTTGCAAAAAGCAATAAATATGTTTACTAAAAAGATGTTTACAGTATTAAGAATATCTTAAGAAACTTAGTATCAAGAAGTACATAAAACGATTGCAGTCTTTTAGATTTTTGTGGTAGAAGAACAAACAAAGAATACTGTTTTTTTTTAAATCGATGCTAATTGGTTCTAATTGCACGAAAAAGAAGGGATAATATAAACTTTAAACATATCTGTTACAATCGAATACAATACGATTTATAAAGTATTTGTTAACTGCATTTCAATCAGTTTATGTAACAGTTTGTATGTTTGGTGTTATTGTTATCTATGGAGAAGATAAAGAAGAGAAATTAACACGTAATGACCTTTGCGACTGGATTTTGCGTTGAGGCGAAAATAAAAACCAATATCTCAGTCCCAAAACAATACACGAACCTAACCTCAACGGTAAAATACTGCCTCAATGTCAGTGTTTTAAAATAAAAACCGTTCCCCGTTTAGTGTAGCCGAATTTCTTGGATGTTTTCCAACGCTAAGCGAAGCCCAATCGAAAGAGCAATCATGTGTGGAAGCCGTACAATTGATTAAAGAAACCTCGAACGCGAAACAAAACGTCGCTCCGTTGGTTGCCAGGGACTTAAATCAGTTGCGTTTACAATGTTGTCGAGATGCGGGCATTGGAATGCAATCAAAAGGAAATGCACGGCCAGAAGTATTTCGCACTCTAGAAACGTTCTATCGTCGAGCAACGATGGGGGCAATGGGCTGCAGATCGAGCACACAACACCACCATCTTCAGCAAGGGTTGTTGTCTGTGGTGGTGGAGTTATGGGAGCCTCCGTTGCTTACCATCTGGCCAAGCTGGGTTGGGGCAATGAGACTGTGCTGGTCGAGCAAAGTCGGTGAGTGTCAATGAAGAAACAATAAACTGATTTTCTATATATCAAAATATCATTTTTTTTAGTGTTGGAGGTGGTACAACTTGGCATTCCTCTGGGTTGATTGGTGTGTTCAAGCCAAGTCTGTCTCAAGTCAAGTTGACTCAATCGAGTATAGAAATGTACAGGGATCTGGAGAGCAAAGGTTTGAACACTGGATGGAAGCAGAGTGGCAGCTTAAACCTGGCCCGAACGAGGGACAGGATGACAATATTCCGCCGCATGAAATCGCAATCTGTGTATGTCTAAGTCAATGATTATTTTAAACACACGTTTTGTGTTAAAGGTGTATGTTTTTCAGGCAAAAATTCTGTTTTTAGGTCTTGGGATATTGACTGTGAACTTCTAAGTCCAGAACAGTGCAAGCAGTACTGCCCCATGATCAACGTTGATGACATATACGGGGGCTTGTGGATTCCCGGCGATGGCGTCGCCGACCCATACGAAACATGCTTATCAATTATAAGCGAAGCACAGAAATACGGTAGAACACGAGTCAATTATTGTTTTTTCTCCTCCAAAAGATAACTTTATTTACTTTATACAGGAGTTAAGGTGATAGAAAACTGCAAGGTGAAGAAGGTCAACGAAACGAATGGGTCTGTTTCGAGTGTGGAAACGGACCTGGGGAAGATCGACTGCGAATATTTCATTAATTGCGCCGGATTTTGGGCGCGCGGTGTTGGACAGTTGTCGGAGCCCTTCGTGAAAGTACCTCTGCATGCTGTGGAACATTACTATCTGCACACTAAACCTATTCCAGGCTTAGACCCGTCAACACCAGGTTCAGCAATACAAACACCAATCAAATCGTCTTTATAATAATCTCATTCTTTATTAAGTTATTCGAGATCAGGATGGGTATATCTATATTCGGGAAAATAACGGCCGGTTTCTGGCAGGAGGATTTGAACCAGTCGCTAAGCCGGCCTTTGAAGATGGTAAAATTCCAGGCATGTCTACTTTTTTTTATTTTCAATTTTTTTTATTATTTCCCATTCCTTATTAACCGGAATACAGACACTTTTGTTCTATGATTTATAACAATTTCATTATATTTGTAGCCAGCAGCAGGGAGAGAAACCTACCTGAAGATTGGGATCATTTTCACATATTGCTAGAGCAACTTTTACATAGAGTCCCTACACTTGGAGGCGCCGTTTTGGATAGGCTTTGCAATGGGCCGGAAGCTTTCAGTCCGGACTGCAAATGGATCGTTGGAGAAGCTCCAGAGGTAAAGCTTATAAACGTTACGCATTCATAATACTAAGAGTATATTGTTTTGCAGATTCGAAAATACTTGGTAGCTGCTGGTATGAAGACCGTTGGGGTGTCCGCAGCTGGTGGAGTTGGTTTGGCAACTGCAGAGATCATAGTTAACGGGGAGACGTCGTTCGATATGTACGAACTGGAAGTATCCCGATTTTTGGGGCTGCACAACAACAGAAAGTTCTTAAGGGATCGCGTCAAGGAAGTGCCGGGCATGCATTACGGTCTGATCTATCCATTCCACGAGTTCCACACCGGCAGAAATCTTCGGATGTCTCCGGTGTATCCGAAGCTTCGGGAGGCCGGTGCGGTCTTCGGGCAGGTTATGGGTTACGAGAGGCCAACGTGGTTCGAGCCGAAGTATGCCGAAAGCGGAGAGAGTTACGATTGGTCTGGAAAGGGGAACTCGATACCGTATCGCATCGGTTATACGAATACCTTCGGTAAACCTCCGTGGTTCGATTTCGTGGCTGAAGAATACGCAGCTTGCAGAGAAACTGTTGGGATCAGTGATTATTCATCGTTCACCAAAATAGATTTATGGGTAAAGTATTTGTGAACATTAAATTCTAATAAATATATCTAATCTTTTAATTTTAGTCGAAAGGAGATGAAGTGGTTAAAGCCCTGCAATTTGTTTGCTCCAATGATGTTGATGTACCAGTTGGTAGCATCATTCACACTGGGATGCAGAACAAATACGGTGGTTATGAAAACGATTGTTCTCTAGCTAGAATATCTGAAAATCAGTAAGTATAAAACATAATTCATTCTGATTTCAACTTTAACCTAATTCATATTATACATATTTTTTTTCAATATGAAAATTTGATAATAATAACATCTAACAATGCAATAATTTAACACAATATTAATGTTTTAGTTACATGATGATAGCACCAACGATCCAACAGACACGCTGCAAAGTTTGGCTCCAGAAACATCTACCATCGACGGTTGCAATGTCCGATGTGACGAGCATGTTCACATCTCTGTGCATAATGGGTCCGTTTACTCGAACTCTACTTTCCGAGCACACGGATACTGATCTGAGCCCGAAAAACTTCCCATTCTTTACCTTCAAGATGCTGGACATCGGTTTGGCGAACGGAATCAGAACGTTCAATCTCACGCACACCGGAGAACTCGGTTACGTGCTGTACATCCCGAACGAAGTAAGTTTAATTTCGAGGATATTGTAAAGAACAATCATTTTACACGATTTCTTTTAGTTCGCTTTGCACGTGTACTCCCGTTTGCTGGAGACAGGTGAAAAATATGGTATGAAACATGCTGGATATTACGCGACGAGAGCGCTGCGCGTGGAGAAGTTCTACGCTTTTTGGGGACAAGATTTGGACACGAGGACGACACCTCTGGAATGCGGGCGAGTTTGGCGTGTCAAATTTGATGTAAGTAATTGATACATCTTCGTCATCATCAACAACGTCTTAAATCGTTTCAAAGAGCATTTATAATAGGTATTTGGACTGAATATATGTGTAAATGGAATTGGATGAAGCTGATGTTTAATTAACTGTGATGATGGTGATGGCTTTGCAGAAAGGAGTCGATTTCATTGGAAGAGATGCGTTGCTGAAACAGCGCGATGAGGGCGTTAAAAGGATGTACGTGCAATTACTGTTGGAAGATCACGATTTGGAGACTGACCTTTGGCCATGGGGAGGTGAACCAATTTACAGAAACGGCAAATACGTCGGGATGTGCACTACCACAGGATACGGTTTCACGTTCAAGAAACAAGTACGTCGGAAAATTTGATTAAAGTCTATTTGTTATAAAAATTATTATTTTCAGGTGTGTCTTGGATTCGTCGAAAACTACAATCAGAGTGGAGATAAGCAGAGAGTTACCAATGAGTATATCATTTCGGGCGATTACGAAGTCGACATCGCCGGCATTAGGTAACTTATTCAGGAAAACACTTTGCATTTGTATGTTTTATGTTGTAAATTTCTTTTTTTGCAGATATAACGCTAAAGTCAATTTACATTCGCCAAATTTGCCTACGAAGTTCCCAGATGTGGAGAGGGAAGCTTACCAGGCAACGAGGGACAAGAACGAAGAATCATTAGTCGTTACCGCAATCAGATAAAAATATTTTCCTATCACTTTTATTTTCTTTTTTATCCTCGCATCGAAAATTCTCTATGATTTATTTATATATGGATACATTAGGAAAGTTTATTATTTCTATAATTTTATTTTATATACACTTATCAATTGATATACTACCATCCTGTATTGGACAATAATTAATTTTTAGAGATTTAGAGAGTTATTTACATTTTTGGTGTCTTATACAAGTGGAAGATTATTAAGTTTATTTTTTATTATTAATTAATTGATTTAATCAAGATAATGAAATGTTGATTGATGAATATTACAATTGTATAAATATGTTACTTAAGAAACAAA